CTGCAAAGAACCACAAAAAATCGAATCTTGTACCCCGCAGCGCTCTGGGCTCGTTGGAGGGCGCTTAAAGCTTTCGAAGCCTGGCCCGGACGAGAGGATGTGGATTTTAGGGTTCAGGGCTCGGCTTTCGGGTTTAGGGCTTCGGGTTTAGGGCTTCGGGTTTAGGGTTTCGGGTTTAGGGTTTTGGGTTTGCAGTTTACGGTCTTAGTTTCAAGCTTGACGGCGTGTGCCGCAAGGCCAAAGAGGCCATAGAGTTGGGCGAGGCTTGCTATGCTCCCGGTTCGCCGTGGTCGAAACTCGGAGAAAAACACGTCTAAAAGTGGGCTGCTAAGCATGTTAGTGAAGCAGCGGCTGTACTTGGCCAACGCTAAAATCAGGTTGATGTTGCTACTTGCCTCGTGAAGCACTGGCTGGAAGACACTTCAATGCAAAGCGCTGGACTTGCATGTTCGCATGCTAGAAAGCCAAACATATGATTATGTAGCTATGGTTTAAAAAGCACGGGGGTGGGGCACCATCCAAATGCATATAGACGAAAGATGAACAGACCCTGCTGACATTTACATCCATTATGGACAGTGCCGTGCCTGTGCGTGTCCTGCTGCCGTCGGCCAAAGTGGCCTATGAAGCTTCGCTGCTGCCTAGCACCAGTGTGGAAGAGCTTCTTCTGAACATTTGCCAAGCCGGGGGCTTCGACCGGTCTCGTCTCTCTTTAGTCTTTGGGAGCCAGCGGCTGTCTTCAGCGACGACATTGGAATCACTGAAGCTCACAGCTCAGGATGTCTTCTACTTGATCCAGCAACCACCTGAGCTTAAGGTCAAGGTCGTCCTTCTAGGAGGAATGATGGCAGGCAAAACGGCACTTTGCTCGACGTTTTCCTCTGGAGAGTTCGTGGGCAATTACGGCGCTACCGTGGGTGTCGACTTCCAAGCAAGGTTTTTAAATGCTGCGGGCTTCCAGCGGGCGAACATTCAAGTTTGGGATACCCCGGGAACGAGCGGGCTCATCCAGTGACCATGGCCTGTTTGCGAGGCAGGGCCACTTCATTGGAAGACAGTCATGTTTGGGTGAAAGACCGCGGGGGTGCCAAAAAGTCCTTTCATGAACTAGACATAGTGATTTTCTATAAATTTTGGACGCTTTTGGGGTCCTTATTATAAGGGGTCCAAGTTTTTTTTGTTTTAGAAGGTTTGGCCAAGGTTTGAGTTTTTGGAAGGTTTGGCTAAACCCTTGGTTCGTTCCCCGGTCCTCTGGTCCCCTGGTCCTCCGGTCCGCTGGTCCGCTGGTCCTCTGGTACTTTGGTGCCTTGGTTGTTGTGTTCCTTACTCGTCTATTTTCCTTGGTTTTATGGTTGACTGGTTGCTTGGTTGTCTAATTCCTTGGT